TCTATTCTAGATCCTTGTGGTGTTCGTAACTCACTTGGTGTCCCAAGCTCCCGGCGACTGTTTGTGGGATTGCTGCGTACGGGAAGCCCCTTGGCATTTTGCGACCCCTGCATGAAATTAGAGCCATTAAGAGACGCATGCGGTGTCGGAGGTTCACGTTGACTGGCTGTTGGATGGCTCCGGTTGGGCAGAATACGACCGTGTTGGCTTTCATGTGGAGTGCGTAACTCACTTGGTGTCCCAAGCTCCCGGCGACTGTTTGTGGGATTGCTGCGTACGGGAAGCCCCTTGGCATTTTGCGACCCCTGCATGAAATTAGAGCCATTAAGAGACGCATGCGGTGTCGGAAGTTCACGTTGACTGGCTGTTGGATGGCTCCGGTTGGGCAGAATGCGACCGTGTTGGCTTTCATGTGGAGTGCGTAACTCACTTTGTGGTGTTCCCAATTCTTTAAAACTCTCACTCGGCCGGCTCGCCGGTATTTTGGAGGCCTGGACCAAATACGAGTCGCCTCTCGGAGACTCCAAGTCCATGGGTGAACTTCGGCAGCTTTGCATAAATTCGCTGAGGTCCCCTTTGGTCACCGTGTAGTCCTGCGTGTTGCGGCTGCGTTGATTGGTGCTTCTGTTACTTGCAATGGATTCATCAGCTGCGCGGACCGAGAGAATCTTTTTCGAGATCTTGTCTGCTGTCTGAGTTTTATTTCCGGCGAGGCGCGTGGAACGCATATACTCCGCCGTAATGTCCTCTGCGTGGCGTGCGAGAAGTGCCTCGACGCAGCGATCGCAATCTTCATCACTGGGAAAATCGAGACGCAAATTTCCCCACCGTGCCGGATTGTCCAGTCGCTGGAGCTCATCGCCGGTCGGTTCCTCCCTGGACGATCCCGGAAAGAGGCTGGTGGACGCCGTCCGTGCGCTGACAACGCTCCCGTCCTTTGCAGGGGCAATTCCAGCAGAAAGTGCGGCGTTGATAAAGAGATGACCAGAGGCGCCCGTCAGTACGAGCGAATCTGCAGAGGTAAGGACCGTACTCGGCACCCGCGCAAACCTTATGAGTGGAACGGAGCAGACACCAACAAAGAGCGGCTCCTCATCACTTGCCTCGCAAAGCTTAAACACAGAAACAGTTGTGCGCGTGATGGTGATGCTGCCCGGCAACACAACCGAACTTCCATCAGGCGTCATCTCGACGCGTAGGTTCACAGGGTAATCCTCCTGCATTTCCCTTCGTTGCCCTCTATTCTCCTTCCTCTTGTTGTTGTTGTTGTTGTTTGTGTCCGTGTGGCAGGCAGCCCGCGTGTTCTCTCCGAGTGAAATAATGCCACTACTATCGCTGGAGCCGAAGATGCGATCCGAGGACGCGGTGAAGAGTTTCCGCCGAGTGTCCGTTTTGCCCTTTCAAACACCGCCCTCTCCCTTTTTTTTTGTTTTTGTTTTTATTTTATTTTTTTTTTCCTTTTTTTCCTCTTTTTTTCCTTTTTTTCCTCTTTTTTTTCTTTTTTAAGTATTTTGTTTCTTTCCTCCTGCTTTGATGTTCTTTTTTGTTTGTTTGTTTTGTTCCTCCTTTTTTTTTTTTTTTACTTTTTTTACTTTTTGATTCTCCCCTCCCCTCTCTCTCTCTCTCTCTCGTGTATGTGTGCTCTCAGGCCTTTCCTCACCTCGCCCACTAAAACAGAGAAGAAAAGAAAAAGAAAAAAATAAATTAATTAATAAAATAAAAATTTTTAGTCCTCCTCCTCCTCCTCCTTTTTTTTATTTATTTATTTTTTTTCTCCCCTCCCACAGAAGTACGCACACGCACACACAAATGCACAGGCAAGCAAAGGGAGAGGGAGGGAGAGGGA